TGATCAAACGAGTGATTCTTTGGACAGGAAACGAGTATTGTATCCATTTGCCCGCCATACCAGAGGCCACAGTCACAGATTATCAGAGGCCACAGACACAGACTATGAGGGCACAGACACAGACTACTAGAGGCCACAGACTACCAGAGGCCACAGACACAGATACAAACTCTGGTGGTGACGGAAGGGGTTCACCGGCAGGTCACTTATCGTGTGTCGTCTCCTGGGCAGCGCTGATATGATATGGGAGGAGGAAGAGGAAGAAGAGAAGAGCAAAATTAATGAAGGGGGAAGTGGGGGAGGAAAGGTGAGAAGGGTTTTAAAATGAGCAGGGAGGGAAGAGGAGGAGGAAGGGGGATAAGGAGGGAGGGAAGGAGGGTGGGGGAGGAAAGTGAGGAGGGAGGGAAGTAGAGAAGGGAGGGAGGAGGGAGGGAGGGAAGGAGAAGAGGCACTTCCACCACTACACACCACAACCTCTTCCTCCTCCTCCTCCTCCTCCTCCTCCTCCTCCTCCTCCCTCCTCCCTCTCCCTCCTCTCCTCTCAGCTTTTCACAGCCTTTCCATCCCTTCCTCGTCCTCCTCTTCCTCCCGACCCCGACCCTGGTCGAGGAGGTGTGGCTGTGGTGAGGGAGGGGTAGGAGCCGCTCCCCGTCTACCCGGTTGTTTATTAAGCGGATGGGCGTTAAATGTGAAATATCCCGTGCTTCTCCCTTCCCACAAAGGGCGGATGGCGCCTTGCTGTGTACAATATGTAAGTTTTATATCTCCTGTAAATCTGCAAAACCCTGGATTGAGGTGTTTTTCGTCTGGGTGGTGAGACGGACGGACGGTCTGGGAGTCATACAGTTCAAGGTGACATCATCCCCCTCGGTGACATCATCCCCCTCGGTGGCATCATCCCCCTCGGTGGCATCATCCCCCTCGGTGGCATCATCCCCCTCAGTGACATCATCCCCCTCGGTGGCATCATCCCCCATCGGTGACGTCATCTCCCTCCGGGCATCATCCCCTCGATGGCATCATCTCAGTGACATCATCCCCCTCAGTGACATCATCTCGGTGGCATCATCCCCCTCAGTGACATCATCCCCCTCGGTAGCATCTGACCCCCTCGGTAGCATCACATCCCCCCATCGGTGACATCATCTCCCTCGGTGGCATCATCCCCTCGGTGGCATCATCCCCTCGGTGAGATCATCCTCCAGTATCATCCCCCTCAGTGACATCATCATCGGTGGCATCATCCCCTCGGTGACGTCATCCCCCTCGGTGGCATCATCCCCATCGGTGACGTCATCTCCCTCCTGACGTCATCTCCCTCGGTGGCATCATCCCCCCCTCAGTGACATCATCCTCAGTGACATCATCCCCCCCTCGGTGGCATCATCCCCCTCAGTGACATCCCATCCCCCTCGGTGGCATCATCCCCTCGGTGGCATCATCCCCATCGGTGACGTCATCTCCCTCGGTGACGTCATCTCCCTCAGTGACATCATCCCCCCTCAGTGACATCATCCCCCTCGGTGGCATCATCCTCCTCAGTGACATCATCCTCGGTGGCATCATCCCTCGTGGATCATCCCCTTAGTAGCATCATCCTCGGTGACATCATCCCCATCGGTTATCATCCCCTCGGTGACGTCATCCCCCTCGGTGTATATCCCCATCGGTGACGTCGGCATCCCCATCAGTGGCATCATCCCCCTCGGTGACGTCGGCATCCCCTCGGTGGCATCGCTCCCCTCGGTAACATCATCCCCTCAGTGACATCATCCCCCTCGGTGGCATCATCCCCCTCGGTGACGTCATCCCCCTCGGTGGCATCATCCCCCTCGGTGCCTCACGGTATGTACGGCCCACTCGGCCCAGTCTGTCATCAGAACTCACTTCCTCTATAAATATTAAACTTTAAACAGAGATTCCCGTATGGGCTGTGTGTTATCCCCGGCCTGTGTCACCCCCTGCCTTTGTACCCCTGCCTGTGTCACCTGCCTGTGTCCTCCCTGTCACCAATGTAACCGCCTGTCTGTGTCACCCCCCTGCCTGGGATCACTCAACCGGGCACCTTGGGATACACGCGACGTCGTTCCCTGATTTCCCTCCTATCTTGTCTCTTGAGTTGTTATGGCAGACGAGTCGGGGGATTGTTCTCACCCCTTTTCTGAAGTCAAGTATCACTCACTCAAGTAGGGGCCATGAATACCGCTGAGGACGCACCAGGTCATCCCTCATGACACTTATCCTCGTGTTTTATCTCCCTGTAAATAGTTCTGTTCCTTCCTCGGCGATCATTGTGTGTGTGTGTGTGTGTGTGTGTGTGTGTGTGTGTGTGTGTGTGTGTGTGTGTGTGTGTTTGTGTGTGTGTGTGTGTGTGTTTGTGTGTGCCCCTATCGTCGTGTTGTCTGTGTTTGTCGTGGGTGTTCTTTGTCTGTTTATCCTAAATGTGTATCCTGTCGTTTCTGATGTGGAATAAATGTGCAGCCAAGTTCCCAGATACCTGACCGAAGTGATGCAGATGAATTTCCTTTTCCAGCTGTGGTTTGACAATGACCTAATTGTCGCTTTTGATAACATTGGAGACAGTTTATTTCCCCTGTCACGTCTTGTCAGTTTTGTGTTAGACAGTGTGACAAAACGGACGAAGAAGCTTGACAACACTACCAAGACACCGCCGTAAAGATACTTTTTTGACTGGATGGACATATACTACACCACCTTCCTGTTACTGTGGCTCCTTCGTCATTTTGTTTCTTAGATTTTTATGTATTGTCTGAAACTCCCGCATGCACATCTAAGCAGCGCAATTGGCAGCTTTCAGACGGGCACAGATGACTATTTGTCGCTATGTTCAAGAATACTCAGGACTAACATTTTGTCACTTTTATTTTATTTTTTTATTATTTTTTTTTACGGGATAAGCCCACCCGGGCACAGGTTACTGACCCACATCAGGGCCTGGGGAGCGAAAATGTAATAATAATAATAATAATAATAATAATAATAATAATAATAATAATAATAATAATAATAATAATAATAATAATAATAATAATAATAATAATAATAATAAAGAAATACAAAAATGAAAAAATAAATAAAAAATGAGAAACAATATATGTCTGTCGTGTTGTCAATAGTAAAAGAAACAATTGAGACCCTGCAATTGTGTGTAATGAGGCAGAAAGTCAGATCAGCAACCTGGGTCTTGGTCACAATTTTCGTGATGCCACATGGAAGCAGAATCTACCATTAGACAATACATTATGCTTCCAATATCTTCCCAGGCGGTAGTACCTCCCTGTTTGATAACTGCCTACTACCTACTACATGGAACAATATATCATAATGGTGTCTTCTCTACGTAACATTGTACCTAAATCAGAGACCATTGTTTTTTTTTTAGATTTGCTCAAATTAAAAAAAAGAAATATGTAGAAATGCAAGTTTTTCTGTATGTTTGTTTTGTGTATAAAAGTAATATCAGAAAAATGTAATTCATTAGTAATTATAAATGCAGTGATAGCTCTATTAAAGGGACCATATGGAAGAGTGTAGTCCGTATTGGAGAATATAACCCATTATATCGAGTTCCAATAGATGTAAAACTTCGATATAACGGACTATACCCGTTAGATTGATGTCCGTTAAGTGGAAGTTTTATTGTACAATGAACACAGACATAAATATTGGATTGAATTGTGAATAAAACAAAAATATTAAATGACACCCGTATTGTGTCCAACTTTTTCCGACCCGTCGTTCACATGTCCCCTTTCCTTTTCTCATTTATTTTCCGATTCCGGCACAATCAACTTTTACTTTTTAGATTCATCCTACGTGTCCGCCGTCTCTTTTGATTTACGCTTAACACCTTGACCTTATTACGACGAAATATCAACGTTTGGGGGTCCACCAACCTTTGGGGGATCAACAACCTTTGGAGGTCCACCAACCTTTGGAGGTCCACCAACCTTTGGGGGATCAACAACCTTTGGAGGTCCACCAACCTTTGGGGGATCAACAACCTTTGGGGGTCCACCAACCTTTGGAGGTCCACCAACCTTTGGAGGTCCACCAACCTTTGGAGGTCCACCAACCTTTGGGGACTCACCAACATTTGGAGGTCCACCAACCTTTGGAGGTCCATCTGAGGTCCACCATCCTTGAGGTCCACCAACCTTTGGAGGTCCACCAACCTTGAGGTCCACCAACTTTGGACTCACCAACATTTGAGGTCCACCAACCTTGAGGTCCACCAACCTTGGAGGTTCACCAACCTTGGGGGTCCACCAACCTTGAGGTTCACCAACCTGAGGTCCACCAACCTTGGGGACACCAACATTTGGAGGTCCACCAACCTTGAGGTCCACCAACCTTTGGAGGTCCACCAGCCTTTGGGGACTCACCAACATTTGGAGGTCCACCAACCTTTGGAGTCCACCAACCTTTGGAGGTCCACCATCCTTTGGAGTCCACCAACCTTTGGAGGTTCACCAACCTTTGGAGGTCCACCAACCTTTGAGATCCACCAACCTTTGGGGACTCACCAACATTTGGAGGTCCACCAACCTTTGAGGTCCTCACCTTTGGAGGTTCACCAACCTTTGGGGTCCACTAACCTTTGGAGTTCACCAACCTTGGAGGTCCACAACCTTTGGAGGTCCACCAACCTTTGGGGACTCACCAACATTTGGAGTCCACCAACTTTGGAGGTCCACCAACCTTTGGAGGTCCACCAACCTTTGGAGGTTCACCAACCTTTGGGGTCCACCAGGAGGTCCACCAACCTTTGGAGGTCCACCAACCTTTGGGGACTCACCAACATTTGGAGGTCCACCAACCTTTGGAGGTCCACCAACCTTGGAGGTCCACCAGCCTTTGGGACTCACCAACGGGACTCTACCAACATTTGGAGGTCCACCAACCTTTGGGAGTCCACTGGAGACTCACCAACCTTTGGAGGTCCACCAACCTTTGGAGGTCCACCATCCTTTGTGGACTCACCGACCTTTGGAGGTCCACCAACCTTTGGAGTCCACCAGCCTTTGGGGACTCCAACCTTTGGAGGTCCACCAACCTTTGGAGGTCCACCATCCTTTGTGCTCACCGACCTTTGGAGGTCCACCAACCTTTGGAGGTCCACCAGCGGGGACTCACCAACACGGAGGTCCACCAACCTTTGGAGGTCCACCAACCTTTGGAACTCACCAACGGAGGTCCACCAACCTTTGGCAGTCCACCAGCCTTTGGGGACTCACCAACACTGGAGGTCCACCAACCTTTGGAGGTCCACCAACCAGGTCCACCAACCTTTGGAGACTCACCACCTTTGGAGGTCCACCAACCTTTGGAGGTCCACCAACCTTTGGAAGTCCACCAACATTTGGAGGTCCACCAACCTTTGGAGGTCCACAACCTTTGGAGGTCCACCAACCTTGAGGACTCACCAACCTTTGGAGGTCCACCAACCGTTGGAGGTCCACCAACCTTTGGAGGTCCACCGACCTTTGGAGGTCCCACCAACCTTTGGGGACTCACCAACCTTTGGAGGTCCACCAACCTTTGGAGGTCCTGACCACTTGGAGTCCCAACCTTTGGAGGTCCACCGACCTTCAGTCCACCAACCTTTGGAGGTCCACCAACCTTTGGAGGTCCATATTTTGGAGGTCCACCAACCTTTGGAGGTCCACCAACCATTGGAGGTCTACAAACCTTCTCTATTGGGAGGTCATTCTTACGGATTATTTCAACCGTTTCCAAAACATTTTCCATAAGTTCAAAAACTTCTGTCCATTTTGTGACATTTTCTCAAAGTCTGTAATTTCCATTAAGTTATCTTCTCCGATTTCTAAACCGAATTTTTTAATAGTTATCAAAAGGGCGCACGTAATCACGGTACGCTTCTATTCAGTAATATTAATTTTTACCATTTTATCAATGAGATCCAGAGCGGAGATAATTATTCTTTCCTTGCGAACTTGGTTCATATCTGGGAAAAAGTCTTCGACGAAGGTTGTGACATAGTACTAGGTTGGATGATCTAAGTCTATGTCGGGATAAAGGAGCTTCAGGCGGGACAAGGCCAGTCCTACTTTCTTGAAGTGTCTACCACCGAAATAAATTTTTTTCCGGTAAGTGACACAAGCTAGGTAATGTCCTCCCAATACGATATCCTGACTTGACATTAGTTTTACCTTCTTTTTGAGTGGTTCGTATTTAGCACGGTTGAGTTTTGCAAAAAGACGAGATTAGAAGATTTACAATGCCAGTATGTATTCTCTGGCTAGTTCCCCTTCTCAAAATTTTCATCGTATTTCGCATAGAAAAACGTAGAGTAACGTTGGTAGGTTTGACTCTCGAATAATTTTTAGTATCCCGACTGGCGCGCCACGTCGGCCGGGTGATTTTGTTTGGACAGGAATATCTGCCACTCCTCTACCTCCAAATTCATTGGTTCAGGAGTAATTGTGGCTTTTTGCTCTTCCTCTTTTTCAGTATCCTAGTTATTGGCAGATATATTACTTAGATATGGTTTCAAGAAGTTTTGGACTGCGGTGAACATATCTTGCTTGGTTAGGCCAGTTGGCGGCTCCTTGAACTTTTTCCAGGCCACATGAAGTGCAGTAATATACAGCCTGATCCATGTAATTGCCGTCTCCAGTCAGGGTGAGAGCATGTTTTAGTCTTTTCGAAACGGCTGACAGTTTTTGGCTTCACCTTGATACCCTGGGTAGGCTTGACTGGCTTCTGCTCCATTTTGGGAACCTTATTATCCTTATTTTGCGTAGAGCCTTCAGGTCTTTGTTCCATTTTGCGTTTTAAATTATTTGAAAATTTCTCTGATGCAGCATCATTATTCTTTTTATTTTCCGATTCCGGCACAATCAACTTTTACTTTTTAGATTCATCCTACGTGTCCGCCGTCTCTTTTGATTTACGTTTAACACCTTGACCTTATTGCGACGAAAGATCCTTTGGTGCCTTCACCTTTTCTTCCTTATCTTTCGATTCCTGTGCAGTCAATCTTTACCTTTTTATATCTTCCTCATTCTCCGTTTTATCTTCTGATTTTCGCTTGACTCCTTGACTTTCCGTACTAACCAACACTTCCTGAAGGGGCTCGCCACTCTTTTCGCATCGCCCCGACACACCATCTACCTCTGATTCCCCGTTGCACGTCTGATTATTGACCTATTCCACACGTTCTCCCATATTTTGCTTACTATCGACGTTTATCTATTTACTGTTCATTTTAATTTACACTTGAATTAAATAAATGAAAGTATAGCTAATTACTGGGTGAGGTGCACCATATGTTGGAGTGTTTTATAATAAGCTAAGAACACACAACTTAAACAGGTGAGCGTGAGTGTAAGGAAACAGTAGTTGAGGTTAGGTGTAGTGTAGATGGTATGGTGTGGTGTAGTTGATGTAGTGTAGATGGTAGTGTAGACTGTAGATGATAGTTTAGACTGTAGATGGTAGTGTAGCTGGTGTAGTGTAGATGGTAGTTTAGACTGTAGATGATAGTTTTGACTGTAGATGGTAGTGTACTTGATGTAGTGTAGATGGTAGTGTAGACTGTAGATGATAGTTTAGACTGTAGATGGTAGTGTAGCTGGTGTAGTGTAGATGGTAGTGTAGACTGTAGATGATAGTTTAGACTGTAGATGGTAGTGTAGCTGGTGTAGTGTAGATGGTAGTTTAGACTGTAGATGATAGTTTAGACTGTAGATGGTAGTGTAGCTGGTGTAGTGTAGATGGTAGTTTAGACTGTAGATGATAGTTTAGACTGTAGATGGTAGTGTAGCTGGTGTAGTGTAGATGGTAGTGTAGACTGTAGATGATAGTTTAGACTGTAGATGGTAGTGTAGCCTGGTGTAGTGTAGATGGTAGTTTAGACTGTAGATGATAGTTTAGACTGTAGATGGTAGTGTACTTGATGTAGTGTAGATGGTAGTGTAGACTGTAGATGATAGTTTAGACTGTAGATGGTAGTGTAGCTGGTGTAGTGTAGATGGTAGTGTAGACTGTAGATGATAGTTTAGACTGTAGATGGTAGTGTAGTTGATGTAGTGTAGATGGTAGTGACTGTAGATGATAGTTTAGACTGTAGATGGTAGTGTAGCTGGTGTAGTGTAGATGGTAGTGTAGACTGTAGATGATAGTTTAGACTGTAGATGTAGTGTAGTTGATGTAGTGATGGTAGTGTAGACTGTAGATGATAGTTTAGACTGTAGATGGTAGTGTAGCTGGTAGTGTAGATGGTAGTGTAGACTGTAGATGATAGTTTAGACTGTAGATGGTAGTGTAGTTGATGTAGTGTAGATGGTAGTGTAGACTGTAGATGATAGTTTAGACTGTAGATGGTAGTGTAGCTGGTGTAGTGTAGATGGTAGTGTAGACTGTAGATGATAGTTTAGACTGTAGATGGTAGTGTAGTTGATGTAGTGTAGATGGTAGTTTAGACTGTAGATGATAGTTTAGACTGTAGATGGTAGTGTAGTTGATGTAGTGTAGACGGTAGTTTAGACTGTAGATGATAGTTTAGACTGTAGATGGTATTGTAGTTGATGTAGTGTAGATGGTAGTGTAGACTGTAGATGGTAGTGTAGTTGATGTAGTGTAGATGGTAGTGTAGTTGATGTAGTGTAGATGGTAGTGTAGACTGTAGATGGTAGTGTAGTTGATGTAGATGTAGATGGTGGTGTAGTTGATGTGGTGTAGATGGTAGTGTATTAGACTGTAGATGGTAGTGTGGTTGATGTAGTGTTGAATGGTGGTGTAGTTGGGTGTGGTCTGGATGGTAGTGTAGTTGATGTGGTGTAGATGGTGGTTTAGACTGTGAATGGTGGGTGGTTAGAGTGTAGTGTAGATGGTAGATGTAGTTGATGTAGTGTGGTTGATATAGTGTAGATGGTAGTGTAGTTGATGTAGTGTAGATGGTGAGTGTGGTTGATGTGGTGTAGATGGTAGTGTGGTTGATGTGGTGTAGATGGTAGTGTAGTTGATGAGTGTAGATGGTAGTGTAGTTGATGTGGTGTGGATGGTGGTGTAGTTGATGTGGAGTGTGGATGGTGGTGTAGTTGATGTGGTGTAGATGGTAGTGTAGTTGATGTAGTGTAGATGGTAGTGTAGTTGATGTAGTGTAGATGGTAGTGTAGTTGATGTAGTGTAGATGGTAGTGTAGTTGATGTAGTGTAGATGGTAGTGTAGTTGATGTAGTGTAGTTGATGTAGTGTAGATGGTAGTGTAGTTGATGTAGTGTAGATGGTAGTGTAGTTGATGTAGTGTAGATGGTAGTGTAGTTGATGTAGTGTAGATGGTAGTGTAGTTGATGTAGTGTAGATGGTAGTGTACTTGATGTAGTGTAGATGCTAGTGTAGACTGTAGATGATAGTGTCTTTTGTGTAGAGGGATTTTTTGTGGTTATCAAGAAATTCAATGACAAAAAATCCCCCACTCCGGTATATATAAATTCCCCACCACTTAACACATAAATCCCCCACCACGATCACTATATAAATCCGGTACTCTAGAATTAAGGCTAATCTTTGTGCTAATTTAGTACATCCTTGTTAACATAGAACGAACAACATATTACATTATAAACTCGAGGTGAACATAGTGATAATCTCTGAAGTATTGCCCTGCAGCGAGTATTTGATATAATTATATTACGTTGTGTCAGGAGCAGAAAATATACGTAAAGTCACGAATTATATATATATATATATATATATATATATATATATATATATATATATATATATATATATATATATATATATATATATATATATATATATTATTTTATTTTTTCCTATAATTTTTTAATATATTATCGTTTGTTTGTTTGTTTGTTTGGTGTATATTATTTGATTTTTTTATTTACATTGTATTTTTTTGTACGTGTCTCTCTCTTTCCGCCATTGTGTTTATTGTTATGATGATTCCATATATCTTATTCTGCTTTGTAATTCTTTAATTTATTTCATTTATTTTATTTATTTGTTTAGTAATTTCTATTGTGTATTGGTAAATGTGTTAATAAGACTTATTTTAAGGTCATTTATTGATTATGTCATCAATCATGTAGGAGATGATAACTCTGTTTATAAGTGTGTCTGTTTATTTTCCCAGGGAGTGAAGGGAGTGTGTTGAGTTCTTCCCAGCGTGGCAGGGAGCTGTAGGGAGGACGGCTACGGTCGTTTGGTTACCCCCTTTTTCTACCAACCCAAAATGAGGTACGTGAGGTGAAAACCATTACACACACACACACACACACACACACACACACACACACACACACACACACACACACACACACACACACACACACACACACACACACACACACACACACACACACACACACACACACACATTATGTATTGTACTTGTATATGTATATGCTGATGCTGTTTTAACGTAATTTATACAGGTATTTTATTATCGCAAAACATTACAATGCGGGGAAATATGTTCACTACACGCAGGTTAACTTTGCTTGTGTGTGTTCTCATGTTTGTGTTTTGGATTTTTCTGTTTCTCGTACAACAAAACATACAGGTGGGGAAGGTAAGGTTAGATTTAGCACTAAAGGTATTACTCTTCACGAGGGACCCACCAGAGCCCGAGCTCCTCCTTCAGCTTGTGACTCCCCCTTGACGCATGTGTCAGTCGTAGGCCGATACCTATCCTATCAGTGCCTGCTCGGAGCAACTGCCACACTTAAAGAATAAGTCATGGGGGAGTACTTCACCGCGTCT